TGACCTGCATACAAGTGAATGCCACTCCCTCTTATCATAAACTTCTTTTAACTAAATTATGTAGTTTAAAAAATAGTTAAAATTAGTTTAAAATAATAAATAAGTAAAACTTGAACTTTTTTCCCTTCAAATATGTCCATATTTAATAGGGGAATAAATAAGAGAGAAAAATACTAGTAATGAGATAAAAGAAGAAAGAGAGTGTAGTATGAGAAAAAGATAAGAAGAATGAATAGAAAATTAATTATGGAAAAAATTGGTAAAAATACATTTAATGTTTGGACAATTATAAATAGGATCTTACGAAAAAGACAAAATCGATTCAAATTTTAGGACCTTATAAAATGTACGGAAAAAGTAGTTTCAAGAATTGAATGCACAAAGTTGTGGTTAAGAATGATGGATGGGATGACAATATTGCCCTAAAAACATGACCTCAAGTATCATATATAATCTTTTATTATTTCTTGAAGTTACATCAAAACATTTATTTAAAGCAATAAGAAGTCAAGTCAGGCAAATACTAGAATTGTTCACAGTGAAAATCACAAGGCCCAAGCAACTTCCCCCAGTCCCGCGACGCAGGGTTCATGTAACTAAACTACAAGACCAAGCACGGGTTTAAGAAGAAAGGTATTGTTTGATAATGCTTATGTATGTGTTTAGTTTTTTTCTCTAAGAAATTTCACTTGAGTCCCGTAATGTGAATTTAATAAATAAAAGGTCTCAAGAAATTGTGAAACTTCAAATTAGGCTCTCTTTTTTTTGGATACAAAGGAAAAGAAACAAGACAAAAAGACCCCAAGCTATAAGGGCAGTGCTCAAGAGCACCTCGAGAAACTTCGGGTTGAGGATTTGCATACCGCAGCTATTGCTAAGGGCATGTTTTGCAAGGGCGTCCGCCACCTGATTGTGTTCTCTGTCAATAAGCTGCAATGACTCAACGGTCCATTCCCTACTTAGAAGCTCATGTATCTCCAAGATCATTGCATGGTCTCCATACAAGTCATATTCTGATGAGTGGGCAAGTAGTAAGGCTTTAGATGAGTCATTGCGCAGTATGATGCTTCTGAGGCCATTATCCCAGGCCCTCTTTAAGCCCATCACCATAGTCCAATTATAGGTAAACGCCAGTTTGAGCAGATGGTCTTCATGTCTGATAACACCACCGCACACTATTTTCTATAAACAAGGGAGAACGCTCCATTGACTTCTACTATTGCTTTGTACACTCATAGAATCCTTACCTGGCATCTGGTTCTACTCATTCAACTTTACCTGTTGTGGCTTGCTCGAGGTTGTAGTCATGCATCACAGGATTGCTGTGGCCCTTATTAAAATCCCAGAGATGTTTATTGGGGTTTGTTGATGAAGGTTCTCATTCCTCCTCCTCTAGATTAACCAGCAGCATAGAAGGAAAAGATTGTTCCGAGGGCTACACTGTTAGGCCACACTTACGGGTCAAGTTGAAGCGCAACCACTCGTGGAGATTTAGCTCAAAGAATTGGTTCTGGGTATCCTGCCTTATCGTGTTCTGCCAAAACAGTTTGGTATCCCCACAATCTCTTGAGACGTGAAGCTCATCTTTAATCATATTACTCTAACAGATCTCACAGTGACCTGTAGGATGAATGTTTTGTTTCTATTTGAGACTGTTGGTCAAGAGCTGCTCTTGGGTAACCAGCCAAGCAAAGTGCTTGCAGTATTGGGGTATCTTGCTCTTCCAAATAGTCATGAGCTAATAGTTGTTCGTTTTGTGCCATATAAGCCGATTTCAAATTGAATTTGCATGTCTTTGTCCACTTCCATTGAACCGTTGGGTTATTGTTTCTGTCCATCACTTGTTGCACTCCTTCCTGAAGCAAATTCCAGTTCCACTTTATTCCTTGCCAAGCATTAGAGCCTAGCTTTCGTGTGTTAACTGAAGGCAAGAGTTTATCTCCATATCCATATTTACTTCTAATCCCTCTCGTCCATGGAGAATCACGCTCTTTAACAAGTCTCTGTTCTAGCTTTATCATGAACGCTCCGTTTTGCTATTTGATGTGCCTCACACCAAGGCCCCTGGAGCATTTCTCTTTGCACAAGTGCATTTTACAGTGTTCATCTGAGGATCCCCATAGGAAGTTCTTAGCTTGCTTTTCGATAGTCTCACAAGTACTAGTGGGCTTACCATATCTCTTCCTTTAGACTGTTGCACATGGTTCCACATCCCTAGCCCCTTGCCGGAGTTCACTGTCACCATCGTAGAATCACACTGCATTTCAGGCTCTCAACTCCCTCTTTCCTTGTCTTGGCTATTTTAGGATTTTTAGGGCTCACAGGAGTTTTGTTCGAGATCCTGCTTCCAACTGCATGGGTCTCTTTATCATCTCCCCCACTTGTATGGGGATCAGCTGGGCTGTTTAGGGCATCTGACTCTGCCAATCGAAGCATCGGGCAGTTATCCTTGTGGTGTCCATACTTGTTGTAGAGGAAGCAAATTATATGTAGACCTTCATACTCAAGAATTCGCTGTCACCTAAAGATATTAATAGCTAACTTTAGATGTTTCAGTAAATTCCACATTACACAGATTCTCGTGAATTGTCCTCGTTCACTGGTATAGGTTATCATATCAATTTTCAGTGTTTATCCTATTAGCTTACCCATCCATTTTAGGCTTACTATGTTGAAAAACTCCAAGGGGAGCAGAAGAATTCGGATCCACTCTACTATGCATTTCTGTACTTCCACTTCCCACAGGTCAAAATTCGGTCTCCATCGCTAACACTGTCATATATCTCTGCCGACCAGCAATCCAAGGCCCCTCTTGGTAGATATAGTTCATGTCCTCTTCATCCTCAAAGGAGACCACAAAGAATCCATTATCCAGATCTCTAGTAGTAAAAGCCTTCTTAGTCTTCCATATATGTTTGAGGGCGCTCTTCATCGCGCTTAGGGGCATTGTTTTTGCCCATATGTTTAATGATTAGAGATTTTCTCCATGGCTCACACCATAACTTTGTATTCTTTCCCTTGACATCTTGAAGGTAGGACAATCTTCTTCATCCGGGCTTCTGTCACCCTCATCGTCGCTTAGGGCCTGGTTTTGAAAGCTAGAGATAAAATAGCAGTCCAGGCTATCAATGTATCTTTTTCATTCCTCATCGAACACCCTTCTACCTCTGCCATCTACAGAAGTGGATCTAGTCTTTGATCCTATCAGTTTGTCCTTAAAAGTCTAGTCTTTGATCCTATCAGTTTGTCCTTAAAAGTGTCCCCTTTCTCACTCCATTGCCTTCGTTCATTACATCCACCTGTTCTCCCATACCCTGTCTAACCTTTTTTCCGCCGTCGAGGAGCAGCCTCGCCGTCCTCCACTCTGTTTCCACTGTTCGTCACCATAGTGCCACCGCTCATCGTTCACCTACTAAAAGACCCTGATAACTACTTGTGGTCTATCTTTTGTATGCGCTTCAAATCACTCTCTGTAAGTCATAATAATAATATTAAACTGAGAAAGCAAAAGACTAAAACAACTCTAGCTGAAATCAAATCGGTTTGTGTGCTTCTTATTCACCTAATTTTAGTTGTTTGTAGTCTTATTTTCACTGATCAAATGAGAGCTGTTTATTCCCTTTATGTGTTGTTGTCAATTTCCTTATTGTAGTTGTTCGAATGCATATTTTTAATCGTAAAATGGGAGTTGTTGATTTTTTTATATGTTGTTGTTAATTTCCAATTATAGTTATTCAAATACGTATGTATTTTCACTGGTAAGATGAGAGTTGTTAATTCTCTTATGTGTTGTTATTAATTTTCTAATGGACTAAGGTTTGATTTTGCCCTGCAAGTTTTTTCACTGGATGTATAGATATCTAGAAGTTTGGTTGGATTCAATATCATCCAGAAATTATTAAAAATGTAGCGGTATATAATGCTGCCCCTACCTTTTATAAAATGTTAGTTTAATTTTGATTGTCAACTTTAACTGATGTATCAACATGGCACTCGGTACATGCCACCTCATCACTCTATCTCCTCCTATGACCTAACCCTTCCTTTACCATCTCTCTCTTTCTTTTGATGAACCATACCCAGAGTGCACCACTTCAACTAGCTTGGGGATGAGGTGGCCATTCAGACTCCAAACCAGCGATGCAGGCACCGTCGATTGTGGAGGGACTTTTGGCTACCTCCACCGCTATTACTGCCACAAACCCTATAATCACCAATATCTCCTATTGATCTTCTCCAGTACTAGTCCACTGAATGCCAATGCATTTGAGAATTTTCTATCAACGTTAGTCTTGCATATATGTATGATGATGCTAAGTTATTGTTAGTATTTAGTGATAGTAAAGGCATTACAAAAGGAATGATAAAATAAATAAGAGGGATGGAGGGCACAAATTATGTTCCACCATCAAGAGAAAGGTAAGTGTGGGGTGTTTAGTTTTTTTTTTTTTTTTTTTAGTGTAGAATTCTGAAACTTCCACTTTTAGCTTGGACCTCTCTCTTTGGATTTTTTTGGCTTCACTCCCCCTAAGATGGTGAATTTGCTGTGCAATCTGAATTGACCTAAAGCGTTGGAATGGTTAATAAGCCTTGTTTTCTTACAGATTTATATTGATTGAATTTCCATATGGTGATCAATTAATATGAGAACCACATGTCCTATAAATTAATAATATGAATGCAATAAATGCAAAATGCATATAATTATATATCACGATATAAGTATTATAGACCAATTTATTTCTGATGAAACCAATACAAAATTGTTCTCATCCTCAGTACTAGAAAACACTGTGACACGCAGTTTATTCAAGGATTTTTAAGTAAAACTCTCCCCAGAGTACACAGAGTACTAGAACCTTTTGTGATGTGGAGAGCCTGTTACTAAGATACGTGGCCAGAAGCTTAGGCCATTATGGAAATAAAAGCGAACTTGATGCATTATTCTCTGTAGGAAGATATTATTATAGATCTATAGTTTAAATGGTTGAAGATAACAATTAAAAGGATAGACCATACCCACCCAACTTCTCTTCTATTGTTTTGGACAATTTCTTTTCCATCCAAGGGCTAAAATGATTAACCCAATCACCTACTTCACCTTTCCTGAAGAAGACCTTGTTTTCATACCTGTCCAATATTTTTCCAGCCTTGTTCACTTCCAATTCCTTCATCTTCCCAAAGCTACACAGCTCAATGATGTTTTCAATAACACCATTTCCTTCCTCCTCCGAGTCAAATGGGCAATTCAAGAACTCAGCAACTCTTTTCAAGTGGAACTTGATGTCCCCTTTCAAATCTTCATACTTTAAAAACAGAACCTTATCTGGTTTCTCTATACTTTCTCTCCAATAACCCAAGATATTTGTCCAAAATGGACCAAACTCAATGGTTCCCTTTGAATACCTCTCCAATGCTTCTTCCCATGATAATCTGGGCGATGTTGATGGTGCAATTGCATTGCCGAAATACCATAGAGATACGAAATTATCAAATGGGTTACGGCATATATAGATTATCTTGCATTTGGACTTGGAAATTGAATCGAGAATGGAATGGAATGGGAAATGTGTGCCAACAAGTCTTGGTTCAGGCAAGTTGGAGAGATCTGGATTCTGCCTTTTTCCATAAAGGTGAAACTCAAAGTAAGGCACAAGATCATGGGAATTTGAAATGAGTAAAGGATGGTTCTTTTGTGAAGGAGAAAAACGATTGCGATTCACTATGGCAAAAACAAGGGCTTTCAACCAAGTGGTGCCAGATTTTGGCAAGGAAGCTACAATAATATCACTGTCTTTTGCTTGGAACTGCTTTTGAAAAGTGGATATGGCTTGGATTCGAATTGGCCTCAACCAAATGTCTTGGTAGAGATAAATGTAAGGGACACCCCAACCCTTCTCTCTGGGAAGAGAAAGAAGAAGGTCCTTGCATTCTTGGCTACAATTTTCATATTCTTCATCTTCAGCTTCCTTCTCAAGCTGAACATTTGATTGCTTGTCTGTTGCAGCCATGGCGGGAACACTGATGATATATAGTTTACAAGTAGTAAAAGGCATATGATATAAGAACTTGGGTCTCATATTTCCTTCATTTATACCATCACTTAAACTGATTCTTGAAACTATTTGAAATCAATACCATTTCCAATCGCAGAAATAAGGAGCATCTGTCTATTTCTTGAAAATAAACGTTGCGTATGGAAGCAGAATCGTTCACTTGTTGTGGCACGAAACCATTAAAAGCTTCTGAATTATATTCCATTAGAGGACGCATTTGACAACGTAGATAAACAAAAGTTGTCATATATATTAGGAATATATAGTCTTATTTTAATTAGGTTAATTAATTCGCATCTCACAATTCTTTCGTTTAATGGGTATATATAGATCAATCATTGAGTCCAAAAAAAAAAAAAAAGATCAATCATCAACGTCAAGGTATTTCACTATTTCCTTTATTAATCGTTCCATACCTTTAAAACTACGTTCGAGGCTTCTCAATATTTTCTCCCTATCAATTTCCAAGTCCAATGTTTATTTGTGGTTTCGATCTTTTTTTAGTAATAGAAGTTGACACCAATACATATGAAAATGACTGAGTTGATGCAACTTGTTTCCATTTCTTATTTTCTATTTCTTTATTTTTTTTTTGTGTAGAGATTTTTTTTAGATGAGTACGCCAAAACAAAAACAGAAGCAAAGATGTCCATCTCAACCGTTAAATTGAAATGAAATTTTGAGGATCAGAATTTATATTTTATAAAATATTTTTATTACTATTTTAAATATCATGGTTAGAATTTAGTAGTTTAATTTTATTTATTTACTTTTTTGAAAAAACTAACATTTTATTAATAATTTTATAAAATATGAAATTAAAATATTTTAAATTTTAAATAATCTAAGGATTGGAATGAAAAGTGGATGAAGATAGAGGGGGATTATGTGTACAAGTCCAGTGTTGATGAGGCATTAAGATGATTATGTATGAATGACTAGGACGCGCAAAATGGTGTGAATTACTTGAACGGCTTGTTTTCTTTTTCCGTTTCCTTGATTTACTCCCGCAACTTGTTTCCTTTTCTATTTCAGTGATACACACACGTAGAGTTAATATAATTTTTAGTTTTTTAATAGACAAAAATAGTCCATTTTTTATTAAATTCTTATATGACTATGTTTTAAATAAAAAGAAATTTGAGGGACTAAAATCTATGATTTGAAATTTGAAATATTTAAATCAAAATGAAAACAAAATTAAACGACTGAAAATTATATTTACTCATGCATATATGTATTTTTCTGGTGTGGTAGAAACAAAGAGAAAATTTTTTGTCATTAATACATGTTACCTTATTAAATTTTTTATATGAATGTACAATTTTATTTTTAAATTATTAATTTGTGTTGTAGATTTTTATTTTCTTAGACTCCTCATTAAAGTATATACTGAATAGCAATACAGGTATAATATAAAAAAGCCAAGGCCCAAACAACGCAAAACCTGACTCCAAATATAACATTTGGGGGGGGGGGGAGCACCGACCAAAGTAAAGCCTTGCCTAGATTGGAATATTGGAATCATTTTGAATCATGATTCTTTCAATCAAAGGTGAGCATATTTGTGTCATCAGAAAAATATATATATGCGAGAATGTTTGAATTGGTAAAAGAGAAAAAAAGGAAAAAATGTGACTATGTTTGAACTATTTAACTCAACTGACACTTAGTGTTTCTTTAAGGGAGTGTTTAGATGAAACTAAACTATGGTTTGAAGAATAGCTTTTGAAGAATAGATTCTGGAAAAAATAAATTTTGTGAAGAATAGATTTTGTAAAAAAATGATTCTGAGAAGTGAGAATGTTTGGATAGTTGTTATCAAAAGCACTTTTTATATGTACAAATTATTAAAAAAAAGCATATATTATTATGATAATTACATAAAACATAGATTGTATGATATCTTTTAATTTGAAGGAATAAAATTGTTAATAATATATTTTTTACCAACATAATTAATAATACATAAGATAATGTAATTAATAAATAATTAATATGTGTATATTTATTTATAAGATATAAGATTAAATATGTTTATAAAAAATTAATTAAGGGGTGTTAAAGTCATATTATTGTTGAGATTTACTCTAATAGGCACAATCATACTCTCCAATTTGAGCTAGAAGCAGAATGGATTCACTTCTCCCGAAACCATGGTTTTGACCCAAACCATGGTTTCAATAATTTGTGTCTATTTGGGTGATTTTTTTTCTCAAACCATAGTTTGAGTCTCCAAACCATGATTTGGCCTGCTATCCAAACAGGCCCCAAGTCCTGTTTAAGTATGAAGTTGTGCATAGCTGTCAATAAGGGTCAAGGGCTAACATTTGAAGGGCTAAGGCCTAAAAAAAGTCGGCCTTTTAAAGTCTCCATACTCTAAAATTATCATATTATTAAAATTTGGTCCTCAGACATATAGGCTCGGGGCCTAAAAGTACAGGTCTTTTTATGTTATTTTTTAAAAATTTAAATTTTTTTCAATTATTTTAAAATAAAAACATAAAACAATAAAACATCTAAATTTGTTTATTCAAATTATAAAATTAGTAAAATAAGCTAATGATGTATAGAGAAAAACATTAAACACTAATGAATTATTATCCAAACTAAAAAAGAATAAAATACGGAAAGCAGAAAAATAAAAACTAAGTAACTAAAGATTAACAACATCAACATGATTATTATCTTCATCTTCATCACCATTATTAATATCAACAATATTTGATTGTTCTTCACTAAATGCGTCTCTTCTTCAATGATAAAAATATCAAGGTTTTTGTTTTCATCACTTTTATCTAAAATAAAACTATATCATAGTTACGAGTATAAATGAGAGTCTAAACATTTATTAGAATAAGAGAATTTTTATACTTTGCTAAAACATGTGAACTGATGATAAATGAAGATTCACTGGCTATTTTAGTGATTAAAATGCTAAGAAGATCAATTGTCATCCTTAAAAGAATTGAAAATTAGTTTTAATTGTCCTTCCACCACTTCAAGACATGTAATTGTTTTCCATTATATGGATTAAATATTAGTTCTTCTAAATAATTTTCTAATTCAGACTTATTCATAAAAGACTAATCTATAATTATATAGATATCTTGATAATTAAAAAAATAGGTGGGCTTAAAAAGGCTAACCCTTGGTCTTAATAGACTGGCCTTTTTATTTTAAGCCCTAAAGAGCTAATATTTTTAAGCCTAATTTTTTTTCAGTATTCTAAAATACAAGCTGAACTTTTTACTTAAAAAGACTTAAACCAGCTGGCCTAATAGGCTCGGCCATTTTGATGGCTTCTATGAATGCGCACTTTTTCAAAGTGAAGGATGGCCAAAAAAAAAAAAGGTTTTGAATATTTTTCTCGGACATAAAGAAAACATTTCTTGGATCAAAATGACGATGGCATATACTAAGTAGAATCAAATTAAAAATATACCTCCTCTAGCCTCAAATATAACGGTTAGCTAGATATTTTATTTATTATATTTATTATTTTTCTCAAAACTAATTTACTTAACTTTTTTTTGGTTAACGATCTACTTAACTTATAAACTAATATAATGTAATCAATGTTGTATGATGATATTTTGGAGAGTCATATCAAATTTGTTATAATTAACTAATTTATTTAGCTTATTTATTCTGTTCAAATTAATTAAGTAACTCTTTTATTATGAGAGTAAATGGAGTACAACTAGTAAATAAGAATGTGCTCCTAGATATTTTTGTAGACACTAGAAAGTTAATTTTGAATCGATAAGAGTTGATCTAGTTGGTAAAGAGTCAATTTATAACCCACAAGATCCTGAGTTTAAATTCTATTGCCGATGTAAGCACTTTGGTGGTAGGCGATTTATAAGCATCTCTGTAAGTGTTCTATGTGTCTAAAAGTATGTCCTCACCCTGATAAGTTCCCAGAACCCAACTCACCAAAACTTTTTTTTTCAAAAAAAAAAAAGAGAAAGAAAGAAAGTGAATTTTGAAATTTTGCCTCACTAATTTAATATTTTAAACCCATTAAAATCAAATGCAAATAAATAGTTAGATTTAAGGAATTTTTTTCTAATTGATACCTTAGCAAGTAAACTTTAAGGTTTAATGTAAATTATGGTGTAAGAAATTTGGTCCCATCTTAGTTTTGATCCATCAAATTTTAAAGTTTTAATTCCCAGAATGTAATCCGTTTTAAAGTGTTACTCCCTAGAGAGGTGTGACAGCATTAAAATTTGCTAAGTAAATGGCATGAAAGTGATGGTGTTGACTCATCAAATAGCAACTAGCTAGATTTTATGTGGATAGCAAAAAAAAAAAAAGAACATGTCCTTATAACACAATGGAAAGAACAAGGGAAATGAGTTCTCAAGACACAGTATTGTGAACAACTCCTCAAACAAATAACGAAGAGTTGCTACCAATTTAATTAATGGTCGATTCATGCCACCTCATAAAATGTTAGTTTAATTTTGACCGTCAACTTTAACTGATGCGCCCCCATGGCATTCAGTACATGTCACCTTGTCACCCTATCTCCACCTAACCCTTCCTTTCCCATTTAGTGCATTTTAAGGAACAAAAAATCAGATCAAACACTAAATTGATTGAAGTAGTAGTTTAGTGGATAATATGTTAGACTGGGATCAAGTCGAGATCAAACCGGCCATATTAAAATAATATAATTTAATTGAAAATAAAAAAAATACAATAACATTAATAATAACTAATAACAAAGAAAAGGAGATAAGTTCTCAAATAAACAACTCCTTAAACAAATAATGAGGAAAAAAAGGAAGCTAAAAAACTGTGTTTTGAGGACTTGTTCTTTTTTTTTAACCCTCTATTATCCACATAAGATCCAATTTAATGTTATTTAGTGAGTCCACATCACCATTTTAATACTGTATATGATATTTCAGCAAATTTTAACACTATTACATTTGCAGCGACTA